TCACCACCAATGAATCAACATTTGGTTGATCCGAAAAAAGTGTACCCTGCAATTGAAGGGAAGCACTAGGAAATAAAACCCAGTGGCACAACAGCACTAAAGTCCCTCTGATTTGGCTTTGTCTGTTTTATTATATACCAAACCAGCTCTTCTAATCTCTCACACAGATTTTTGAAGGCAAGAGGCTGCTTGCTTTGGGACAATGTGTCTTCGGTTTCTCCAAGACAACAGGTAGTCCTTTGTCAGAGTATATTCATGAATTGGAAAAGAGCATGGTAACAAGCTCAGCCAATGAATAGGCATAGCAACTAAATCAGCCAATGAGGACAGTTTGGAAACTGAAACTAAAAGTAGCCTAGGAGTGGCTCTATATTAAGCTCTGCAACTCTGCAGCTATGTGAAGCTCTGAGCCTGTCTGTTGAAAATGAAACTGCTTCTCTCCTCTTGCTTGCCTGTTGAACTAAAGTAAAAGAGAAACTAACTTGCTTGCTGAAGACTGGAGCTCTGCTCTAAACTTGCAACATGTTTCTGTTTGAGTTTTCTCCATGTTGGAGAAATCTACAACTGGTTTGTAAAATCTACTTATTATGTTTACAAAGATGTTAAATGAAGCATCAGCCATCTATGTTTATTTTTCTGGCGCTGAATTAACACTGCAAAACTCTGAATATTCTTGATTTACAACAGTTCATTTAGTGACAGTTTGAAGTTATAATAGCACTAAAAAAACACTGACTTATTTTATTACCATTTTTCATGCTACTTATTGCTTGAACCACTAACTTGCCCCAGCTGAGGTTTAGGAAAATGCCGAGTAGTTAATTTTCCCGAGGTAGGTGAACCTTGGTGGAAAGAGAAAGGAAAACAGAGAATCCACCAGTTTCATTTTGGAAACTACCCCACCTTAAAATGTGCGATACTGACTGGTGGGGGCATCAGAGGGGATACATGAAAAAAGTTTAAATGGTGCCTGTGAACTATGCTTGTTCAGCATATGTAAAAGAAGGAGCAAGATTTTGGTCATGCAGCCATTGCCTATACTTTGCCTTTTGTTTTTTTACTTTTCCCATGAAATATCTCTGACCTCAATACAAAGGAGCAGTAAAGGTGGGTTGTAGGATCAGTACAATTTCCATCGCTCCATTTTCCTCCCAATTCCAAGAGGAAAGGAAAGCACATTAATATGGCTGCAAGGACAATCCCTGAAGAATACAATTTACCTGGACCCAGCCATTTTATTTACATTGTTATGGAAAACCATAATTTAAAATTTCCTTAGGATAGCTTCTTTAAGGATGTTTTCTTCTTCACTGTCCCACCCTGGGATTCTCAGCCAGTTCTTCATCCAAGTCTAACTTAGCTTCTGAGATGAGGTGATTGAAAGACAACCATAATTTTTAGGCAAAGGTGTGACTTCCTTCTTGCTAGGAGTCACTTCTAGGCAATGCCCACATTCCACCACTCAGCTGCCATCCCCATTTGACACATCTCCAGTCATTCTTGACCATGTTGGCTGGGGATAATAGCATTTAGAGTCCAGCAGCAGCTACAAGACCCCAAATTCCCTAATCTTGCCCTGATAGAACTAAACCTTGTCAAATGTCCTAGTAAAAACAGGTAGCTGAAATCTGAACAGTTTCTCTCTTCAAATAGTTTTGAAGAGTTTTCAGCTTTCTCTCTCTCTCTCCATCACCTCTCCCCAAAAGGTTTCTTTGGGGAAATCAGTGGTGGTATTCCGCCAGTTCGCACTGGATCGTGTGAACCGGTAGCAAGGATTTGGCGTAGATTGCTGAACCGGTAGTAAGTTCTGGCTGGCCACACTCCTGACCCAGTTGCCCAGTTGCTGCTAGCTTGTTTGCCCCACCCACCCGATGCTCACTCACCCCGTCTGCCTGACGCTGGCCCCCTTAAGGTATTTCTTTCTTTTTTTCCCTCCTGACAATCAGCTGTTCATACGATCAGCTGTGCCGGGATTCCCCTTGCTGAGGCTAAGGAAGGCAAAAAATGGAGGGAGGGGCTCAGCCCCTTCTCCATTTTTTGCCTTCCTCAGCCTCAGAGGAACCTTCTGGGAGCAAAACACACCCCGAGGCTCTTCTGAGGTGAAGAAGGCCTCAAAAAATGGGTGAAGGGGTAGCTGCAAAAAACAAAAACCACACACACCTAGTCACATGGACACACCCATCTAACCACACCTACCAAGCCATGCCCATGGAACCAGTAGTAAAAAAATTTGGATCTCACCACTGGGGGAAATGCTGCTAAGTGTTGGACAGCAGGAAAAACAGCTGCTTTCTTCAGCAAGCAGCCCGTAGGATCAGCAAGGGTCTATATTCTGTCCTTCGATGAACATAATACACAAGCCTGATGATGGCAGATGAGATTCTGCCGAAACGTCGCTACAACTGTAAAAGCACAACTATAATGACGTGGGAAAATACCCGAACAGAGCTGAATACCATACCTATAAATACCTGCGAAAACCTAAGAAAACATGTGTGTGTGTGTGTGTGTGTGTGTATTGTGCATTTTCCTTCATTTTACATTGCAATTTTATATCGCAATTTCAATTTTGCAACAATGATATGCTGGTTGTATCAGCACCTTTTTGAAGGGCAAAAGGGGATGTAGATGTTCCAGGGGAGCATCAACACCAGACTAACTTTTGACCTAACCATCAACAACAGTGATTGATGTGGCACAGTGCCCATGACTGAGTTATTTCTGGCTTGCTTTTCACATTTTTAACCATTAGCATTATAGATATTTATTGCACTACTTACTTCCACTGTGTTTTTCCATAACCTTGGATATGCAAAGGAAAAATAATATTAGAATGTTAAATAGACCTACTACAAGGTGATTTCTTGCCTAATTAAGAAGGAATGTCAATATAGCAGCCAGAGAGCTGCTATATCCATTATTTGAACTAAGTGGGAAATAGACAATGTTGGAATTCTGGATTGTGCCACTTAAGTATTTTTTTAAATGCAACCACATGTATATAGTATATTAGGTAGGGAGAGAGTTATGATAAAGTTTCTACATACATACAATTAAATTTTCAAAGTGATAAACTATAGGTATAGACAATAATCACACACACACACAGAGAGAGAGACACAGACACAGACACAAAATGATACAGTCAAAGCCCCACTTCTTTTGGACATATGTCATAAGGATATCACATATAAACAAGCAATAGAATTTGGATCATATAGCTGCCATCTTGATTTTTTTGACCACTCCGGATGCTCCTCCTGGATCCTCCCCAATTAGCATAAGGAATGCTAAACTAAATGGAGTGATGTTTCACTTGATATTAGATGCCTTTATAGTGCTAAAACAAATTGCTTTGGGAGGCTATCAGTGTGCAAAACAGAATACAAGAAATAGTCAATAAAATGGTAGCTGCAACAATGTTTAGGTTTTCTTTCTTTAATGAGGGGGGAAGGAATGATTGCTCAATGGTGAAAAAGAAATTCTGCTTTAGTCAGGCCTGGTGGTATTGGAAAAACTCCTTCCCAGCATCCTGCAGATCCTCATCTTCCCACAAAAATGACTTAGAACAGTATTTTTCAACCTGGCAATTTAAAGATATGTGGATTTCAACTCCCAGAATTCCTGACTTACAACACTGACTTAGAACAATAGAGTGTCAATTCCTAAAGCAACAATATCATAGCAAACTGTGTCTTACAATGTAAAGACAAAGTCCTTTACGTATCAAGTTGAACTTTAGCAAGCATCTGGGTGTACGCATAAAGTTGGCCATTTTTTTTCTTCTTTTGGGATATTTTCTCGCCTTTCCAATCTAGTCTCCAACTAGTCCCCCATCCAATTATTACTAACATCTGATTGGCACATAAGATCTGTGCCAATCTACTTCAGTGACTTCAGTATTCTTAGCTTTGGATTGCTCAACCCCCCTCCAAAAAAGAGCCTGCCTGCTCCTGCTTTGTACTAGATGGGAGTATCCGAATCTCTAAGGCCAGGATAGTACAGGTTGAATTAGGACTAGTGGTTTTACAATCATTTGAAGTTATGACAGCCTTAGAAAGGGTGCTTTTCATGCATAGAGGAGAATTGAACCCTTCGACAGGCAGCTCTTTCAGCCAACCCCTAGAGATGAGTGTATTTAAAACAGGATCAAAAGTAAAGTAAAGGTGCTTTTTCAAAGGGCAACTAGACATTGTTTTTCCTTGAAAATGTTTTGCTTCTCATCCAAGAAGCTTCTTCGGTTCTTTTGAAAAAGTACCTTGGGGACAATCATGACCTGGATGACTGAGAATCTCCATAGACATCAAGAGTAAAGGTTTGTGAAGCAATTCCTGCCCCATAATCCTGACCTTGCCAAGATGAGTGGCAACTGGCCAGGTTCTGAAAGAAAGTTTAAAGTGAAAGGGAGTAGATACCTTAGCACAGCTGGAAGTCTTGCTGATCAACAACTCCATCTTGGGAAGAGCTGACTCATGTTCCAGATGTGGAGCAGAAGTCCCACATTTTAAATCTAGCTGCTCCACATGGAAACCAAACAATCGGCCAAGAGGGGGATACATATGAAACAGTCAGGAAGTGGCTGCCATGTGCAACTCTATACATTTAAATGGTTTTTCATCAATTGCATTTTCAGGTCCTTCCATGCCATCAAAAACTAAAAACTCTCATTAGTTCCTTACCTAACCCACAAGTGGATGATCTTGATCAATGTCTACTGGTTAATCAAGAACATTAATAGCAATAGCATTACCAATAGGACTTGGACTTACGTACTGCCCCATAACGCTTTACAGCATTCTCCGGGGATGGTTACAACATCAGCATATTCCCCCCAATAATCTGGGTCCTCATTTTACCAACTCACAAGGATGGAAGGATGGAAGGCTGAGTCAATTAATCAAACAGATGGGATTCGTGAATTGGGCACCCAGTCGCAGGAGAAACAAAAGCGAGCTCTAGGGAGAACTGAATGGCTCCCTTGCCTGATCCTAAACACTTACCCAATGATGTAGGTAAGGACCACCAGTTGGATCAGTCGGAAGGTTAAGCCCACCTTCTTGTTGTGTACCAAAACCATCCTTGGGGTGTCATATTCAAATAGAAATGAGGAGATTTTTTCTGTGAATTTATGGCCCATAAGGAATAGCTGATGTGGATTCTTTGTTGGCTTCAGGCAAAAGTCTTCTGCTGATTGATTCTCCCAAAGTTTGTCTTTCTCACGTTCTGCTAATCTTCTTTGACTTCTCAGCAGGCTCTGCTGTCTTTCCCTGTAAGCAACAGCAGAGTCCTTTCTCTTTCTGGGTGTAGTAGTTTACTTTACATCTCCTTAGATGGTCTGGGGGTGGGACAGGGTGTGTTTACTGAGTGGAGGCAGCCACAAACCACCACCCAAGAACAGCTGAGCAGGAAAGATTCATTTTTTGCATCCTGCTCTGGACAATTATAGAATGGAGTGATGATTCCAAAGGTTAGAATGATTTTTATAATTTTTTTTAAAGTCAAGTTCCATGTAGATCCCCACTGAGATGTTTGCAGATTCTTTTGTCGCATTTTATAAGTCTACAATTGAACATCATCTTGTTCTTTTCTGGGCTCAGGGGAATCTCAGGATAGTGAGAACAAAGGCATGATGGAAACCCCACCTTCTTTTTTTGTGTACAATGCACATGAAAAAACAGTGGGATTTGAGCATACCATTGCTTTTTTTTCTTGACCTGTTTAGGACCCTTCCCTCCTACAGGTATCCTCCTAAGGCGATTCCCTGTTTGGGCTTAATAATGCCTTGACCTGACAGATAGTAGTCATGTTCTAAAATTGGTGTAGTTTTGGAACTGCACTCAAGAGCCATCCCATGTGCAGGCCATCATGGTAGTCTAAGTGAAAATTAGCAAAACATGGATAATTGTGACTAGGCCACTCTTGGATAAATTTCAGCAGCAACAACAACAACAACAAATCTTGTTGAACAACTCCATAGGAGATGCTGCTGGGGTTGGTATGAATGTTTGAGTAAGCCTAATCCAACTCATATGTTTTATGCTGAGGCTACAGGGTTCATCAATGAAGAGACTATGATGCGTTTCCCAATAAGAATAAGCTGGATAATGTCATGGATTCAGTTACATAAGAGGCTGCATTTTTACCATAAGCCTTTCAGTTAAATTTAGATGTCCTGTTTTTCTGATTGTCACCAATTTGGCATGGTGGTCTACCCAGCCTTCCTTAGAAGGCTGCATTTTGTACAATTCATGTTTTCACTTGGCTAGAGTTTTCTTTAGAAAGCCTGCCTCGATCCCTAGATTATAAATGATGGTTATCAGGTTCTGCGGAGTCTATATTTGGTAGGCATTCTGATGGTTATCAGATATTCTTTCAAGTTTAGGGGCCCGGCCAGTGCCATGAGAGACTGATTGAATGCTTGATCTTTCCTTCTGCATCATTTTTCCTTCAGGCCCCAGTCAGTCAAATCCAATCATTTGGAAATGCATTTTCAATATCTATTCTTTCTCATACTATCCTGCATCTCCTGGATGTATTCCATGGGGTAGGAGGCCTGGAAGGGGTTGGTGGAATCTAAGCTCTAAATGGATTTGTTCAGCTCCTTTATGGATTTAGATGGATGTGCTTAAATGTAGAACTGTTGCTATGTAAAGAGCCAAATAAACAACAAAGCTCTGGTACATCAATTGTCCCTTAATCAATGTGCTCTTCTTGGGCTTAAAAGTATTAATAAAGACATCATCTTTACGAAACCTGTCTTTTGTTTACAGCTTTTCCTGGGTAGATGCTTTCAGTTAACACAAGGGAATTTGAGGTAAAATTATCCTTGGGGTTTCAACACTGTTCTGTTCATCATGACTGCTCATCATAGTACATTTTTTGTAATATAGTGTTTATAAAGAAGACAAATCAATTAGGAGTCTTTCCAATTATATACCAGTATCAGAAAGCCGTGTAATCAAATATTTGGGGTTTAAAATAATTTTTTTTAACGATGTAAGAACAAAGTCCTAGCATGGACTGACAAAACTTAACAAAACTTACGGGGATATGAGGAGAAACTCATTTCCTAGGATAAAATATTTTTAACAAACCATCTCCTATTACTCATTACTATTGAGTTATTATATATTATTCTGTTATTCTTTCTATGATCATGTGTATGCATCCCATTAAGCCTAAAGAAAGTCCGGAATGGTATAAGATCTCCTGCCATGGGCAGGGAGTTAGACTAGAAGATCTCTAAGGTCCCTTCCAACCCTATTATTCTATGTTCTATTAATCCTAGTACAATGCGTCAACTGGGTGAATCCATGAGAATTCACTGGAGTTGGGTGGTCAATACATTTAAATAAATAATACTACTATTTTTTTAAAAATGTTTGTAGGAGCAGAGCCATGTTAAGTCTATGCTGGCAAAACAAATGAGAGCACCAGGTGTACATCTGTCACAGAAGTTTATGCTGTTTAATAAAATGTGTTAGTGGGAAAAGGTGTGATCAGACTTTTGAATTTTTATGAAGATATTTGTGATCCATGTTGCATATATTACTAATGGTTAGAAGTCCTCTTTTGAGTTTGTTATTTGAATTTTCAAGTATTTGCTATAAATGCTCAGATTTTGCTGAAGCAACTTTCAGTGATTTTCTTCAGTGATTTTTCCCAAGGAGCCATTAAGTTGGCTATTGTCTCCAGTTATGGCATCTTTATTAATTATTGCTCTGTTGTGGGTACCATAGGAGCTTTCCAATGCTGGGCATATAAAACTCCTGCTGCTGTTCACCATGTGATTTTTTCTAATGTTATATCAATAAACTTTAACAAAAAAACTTGTTCCTGGCCTGAACTGCACATTGATTTTCAATTTTTTTTTTTGAATTACATTCCTAATTCCAATCCAATATTGCTTAATTCTTTTGCAGGTCCATCAAAAGTGGGAAAAGTTTCCTATTTGAGTTTTATACTTCCAGGAATTATTTGGAAATCCTTTCTACATTTTAGCCAATTTATCTGTACCATCTATGCGTGATTTTGTAAACATTCTCTCTGAGGTTATAACATAATGTAAATTTCAGTCCCTGCATCCACATGTTTTCCCATTGTTCAATTAGTATGTCATATTGAAATGTTTTTGTAAACATACAATTTTAAGTGATTCATCTTCTGTTTCCAATTTTAAACAAAGTTTATGCATTTTAGCAGTATGACAATTCTTCTATGTGCACAGTTCCATTTCCTCTAAACTTCGCTGAAGATGTTATCCACTGGTGGGATTTTTTTAGTACCAGTTCTGTGGGCGTGGCATGGCTTGGTGGGCATGGCACAGGAACGAGACAGTAAATCTCCATTCCCACCCCAGTCCAGGAGAAGGTTACTGCAAAATCCCATTCCCTCCCTACCCCACTAACCTGATTTCTAGCTCCATTCTCCTGTGCAGGGCAACAAAAGAAGATCTAGCAGATCAGCTGGGACTCAGGAGGCAGAGAATAGATGGCGCGGGGCCAGTCAGAGGTGGTATTTGCTGGTTTTCCAAACTACTCAAAATTTCTGCTACTGGTTCTCCAGAACTGGTCAGAACGTGGTGAATACCACCTCTGATTTTACCTAGCTTGGTAATGAAATGTTCAGAAACCAACCCACAAGCTCAGAGAACAAACCTTCACCCTCATCCTACACCTGAGCTACGGATATTAATACAATTGAGCGAGTCTAGAAGTATTTCACCAGAAGAGTACTACACTCCTCTGTGCGCAACAGAATACCCTACACAACCTTGAACTATGCTGGCTAAGATTGGATTTAAGCATAATACATAAAATCATAAGTTACAACGTCTTACCAGTTAATGAATATTTCAGCTTTAACCACAACAATACAAGAGCACAGAACAGATATAAACTTAATGTAAACCACTCCAAACTTGATTGCAGGAAGTACGGATTTCAGCAACAGAGTGGTCAATGTCTGGAACTCACTACCTGATTCTGTTGTCACCTGCTCAAACCACCACTCCTTTACCCTCAAACTAACCTCTATTGACCTCATCCCATTCCTAAAAGGTGTGTAAAGGGCATGCATAAGCACACAATCATGCCTACTGTCCCTGTCCTATTGTCCCCAATTATTAGTTCCTATTTCTTGTATTTAAACTTATGTTTACTCTTATTTCTATCGTATTGTAAGCATTTGACAAAATAAATAAATAATAAATATTCACCACTATGGCAAAGTTCCATTTCAAAAGTAGTTTTATCATGTTCAAAAATCATACAGTTTCTTATCAGCTCCATGAGTTGCAAATATGCAAAACATTGCATAGATACATCTGCATATCTTAAACATTTTTGTCCCCACTCATTTCCTTTCTATAATTTAGTTGGTGGCAGAATGTATAAAGGCAATTTGGGGCATAAGCTCATTTTATATTAGTTCCAAATTCTCAGAATGACCTGCCTACTAAAGTGGTTTCTAAAGTCTTTATGGTACAATATTGTACAATAGGTATACATGCCACCCAAATATCATATTATGGCCTTGATCTTGTATCTCTTGGCATCATCCTTCTTTTAACTCAAGAAGGTAAGAGACTGCAAAGTACAATTTTACATTTGGTAGCCTAAACCTCCCCTCTTTTTAGCATAACACAAAATCTTATGCTTAACTCTTGCTTTCTTTCCTTGCCAGATAAATCTAGATATCTCTTTCGCCTTTGTTTAAAGGGTACGTCCAAAGTCAAAATTGGTATTGTTCAAAATAGAAATATCATTCTTTGTAACAGGTTTATTTTTTTTACAGATATTCTCCCCATCAAAGACCATTGTAGATTATCCCATCCTAGAATATTTTTATTAATTTCATCAATTTCATTCCACATTGTGAGATAATTGTTTGGTAAAACATACAGTTCATGTTCATCAGAGCAACCTCTAAATATTTTACCTTTTTCTCAATCTTTATTCATCAATTTGAGATTGGGCATTGAAATACCTCATGCATAGTTGATAAATTATATAGGAACTTTAAATGTGTATGTATAGATAAAATACTAGCTTTTTTTCATAGTCTCTATTTTTTTAGTTTTTAGACTGAGAATAGGAAAAGATAAATTCCAGTAAAAATCCTATTACCGCTCTATTACTGCATTCCAATTACTGTGCCACCACAGGTCTAATAAAAGAAATGTAACATTAAAATATCTTTATATAATTAATGTAATATTCCTGGCATAGGGGATTATTAAATGTTAGTAATAGAAATTTATAAAAACAATACTGCTTCAGAATTTTAATATATGATTAGAACTGTAAAATTTATGTTATAATTTTATAATTAATATTATAATTTTAAATTTTTAAATTGTATGAGTAGGGAGAGATTAGGACAAGTATCAATAGCAATAGCATTTAGACTTATATACCATTTCACAGTGCTTTTACAACCCTCTCTAAGCGGTTTTACAGAGTCAGCCTATTGCCCCCAACAATCTGGGTCCTCATTTTACACATCTCTGAAGGATGGAAGGCTGAATCAACCTTGAGCCTGGTGAGATTTGAACTGCCAAATTGCAGGCAGCCGATAGTCAGCAGAAGTGGCCTGAGTACAGCACTCTAACCATTGCGCCACCAAGTTACTTAACACCTCATTACTTAACACCTTTTACTGTTTAATATATCAGTGATTTAATATTTTGGTGACCAGGCTCAATAGTGGTAACTGTGAGAGGATGCTTGGAGTCCTGGTGGACATTCACTTAAATATGAGGCAGCGGGGTGCTGCAGCTGCCAAAGAAGCCAATGCAGTCTTAGGCTGCATTAACAAGAAGGATACAATCAAGATCACATGAAGAGTTAGTACTGCTTTACAATGCCTTAGTAAGATTGCACTTGAAATATTGGTTGAATCAGTTTCGCTTGCCAATTTTTTTTAAAAAAGGTTGAGACTCTGGAAAGAAGGCAGAGAAGACCAACAAAGGTTATTTGGGGGCTGGAGGCTAAAATATATGAAAAACAGTTGCAAGAATTGGGAACAGTGACAAGAAGAACCAGGGGAGACATGATAGCAGTGTTCCAATATTTGAGAGGCTGCCTCAATCTATTTTTCAGAGAACCAGAAGGTAGCAATGGATGGAAACTAATCAAGAAGAGAAACAACCTAGAACTAAGAAGAAATTTCCTGATGGTGAGAACAATTAATCAGTGGAACGACTTGCCTCCAGAAATTGTGGGTGCCCCATTAATGGAGGTTTTAAAGAAGAGGCTGGACAGCCATTTGTCCAGAATGATATAGAGTCTTTTGCTTGGGCAGGAGGTTGGACTAAAACAGAGATTTCCATACTTGGCAACGTTAAGATTTGTGGACTTCAATTCCCAGAATTCCTCAACTAGTCATGCTGGCTGGACAATTCTGGGAGTTGAAGTCCACAAGTCTTAAAGTTGCCAAGTTTGGAGATTCCTGTACTTAGAAGATCTCCAAGATCCTTTCCAACTTTGTTATTCTGATTCTCAGCCAATTAAGGAGCATATTGTAAATTGAATGGTGAAGCAGATGTTTATTATGACATTGCTCATGATACAATGACATTATTCATGACAACAGATGCCAGGGAGATCATGATCTTCAGTAATTACTAGACTGATGCTTTCCAAAACAAGGAAGCCACAGAGAAGGTGCTGGCATTACTAGAGAGCTATCTAGACAACATGGAATTGATTGGAAGTGAGATCAAGTCAGAACAGTATGAACTAACAGGGCACAAATAATAGTTTCACAAATAATGCCAAAACATTGTCAAGACAAAAGATATTGTTCAGTGCAGCCAAATTCAATTTTGGAAAAGGGAAATAAAAATACTTAAGAATGTGGCTCTATCCTAATAAAAATAGCAGAATCATGCAATCTGCAGAGCTGGGTTTTAAATGCTACCTATTCTGAAAGCAAATACTGTGCCTTTGAAATGAATGCACCAAATATGGGCAATTCTGGTTTGTTTTGGGTTTGCTGTCTTTTCAGCCTGGCTTTTATCTTACATATATTACAACCATAACTTGCTTTTTGTTTCAAACTTGTTATTTTTAGTATCTCAGAGAAAATAAATGTAATCTTCAAGAGCAGTGTAGCAGAAACCCTTGTTTGTCTTAGGTGGGAAGAAATATGTTTTCCCTACACCTGTTGAAGTCTGGATGTTAGTTATAAATCTATATATGTAAAAGCCAAGTACCACTCACTCATCACGAAATCTACAGAACCGTAAAGCCTACAAACTTGAAATTTGGCACGTATGTTCCTCTTGGCTTCTAGGTGCTCGCTAAGAAAGGACTTTTTGAAATGATCATCAGATCATTATTACTTCTTAATACAGTAATTAACACTCTCTGATGTTAAGGAGTTCTATTCCCCCTTCCCAACTGAAAAGAATTCTGTTCCAACTGCCAGTTGCCTCACATTCCGTTACCTCAGTTCAAACTGGCAGACGTTCTTAGGAGGCTAGAGGGGACAGAGAAGAACAGCCCCATTTATAGAAAACCTGAAAAGAACTTTGTTCCAACTGCCAGTTGCCTTATATTAACCTGCTCTGATGCTATAAGGTTAGACATTCTACTCCCCCTCCCCACCTGAAAAGAGCTCTGTTCCAACTGCCAGCTGCCTCACATTCCGTTACCTCAGTTCAAACTGGCAGACATTCTGCTCCTTCACTCAGGAGCGGTCTGGGGTCCTTACAGTACTAAGCATCAGTACCCCACCAAAATGTCTATGCCTTCAACCTATGAAACTGGTTCCGAGCTCAAGGCGATGGGAGTTTCTGTTTTATGAGTTTCAATCACCAACCACCACTGAGCCAACGGATTGTGAACTGAATTTCTCCTCCATAGTGTCCCAGCCCAATGCACTTCTTACATTGACTCAGTTCAGACAAATCTGGTTCTTCTACTGTAATATCAGTTAAAGGGAAAAGAGAGCAAAAACATAGAAAAAGATTTACAGATGGGATTAGGAAAACACAAGCAAGGGAAGCTGCAAAAAAATATTGTCAAAATCATTCCGAAGTCAATAGCGAGGCTGTAAAAAAAGTATGCATCTAATAACCCCTACGTTAATCAGAGAGCTATAGCTAAATACAATTAAAAGATATTACAAATCAGATCAATGCCTTGGACTAATAAGTATTTGTCTGGTTTTAAATATGAACCTCAGATTGATTACTCCAGGGAAAAGGTTGTTGTTCTTGGACATTAGTTACCCTGTGCCATGCCCTGAAATGGCAGGATGAGACTCTTGGGATGTGCTGCAGTGGCGGGAAAGTCCAGCTCCCTCCCCTTGAGCCCTCCCCTTGAACCTTTTCACAGCCTTCTCACGCGCTAGCATCCAATGGCACAGCACTTTCTTTCTGCTGCCCAGAAGTACAACGGATGCTTCCAAATGAAATCTTTTGGAGCCAGAAAGGTGAAGGAGGGGAATTTTATGCCAACATTCAAAGTGCAGGGGCAGGTCTACCACAGGATAGGGAGTATCGTGGCTCAACAGCAGCCTTCATTTCTCCAGATATACTTTGTTGGTGATGATGATAATGAGAGGGACATCCGATGTGGAATCTACCCGGGTGCTAATCCAGAACTGGCTAGCCAACTGCAGAAGTTGCTGCGTGAACACAACAAGTATATTCTGGAACTTAAGACTGCTATTGATTCTGTTTCTAAGGGCCACAAGGACTTCCAAGTGGTGATTGCCAATAGGAAGCCTTCTGGAGAGCACTGAGGTCATTTCAATGCCCCCACAACTACAGAAGTGGCTGTTCTCATTGTCAGCCAGGATTTTGAGAAGAGAGATATCATCCTCCACAGCAGAGACAACAGGTTGCTATGAATCAGTGAGATGCACCATGCTTATGATGCTCTCCAGTACCCTCTGGTGTTCTGCTGGGGAGAAGATGGCTATTACATCAATATACCTCAGTGCGATGCAAAGACAAAAGGTCCTCTCAAGAAGATCATGTCTGCTGCTGACGTTTACAGCTACAGGATAATGGAATTTGATGGTGAAGAATACTACCTACTGCTGTTCTGCAACCTTCTCAATCAATTTCTGGTTGATATGTATGCAAAAATTGAGAGTGAAAGACTCAATTGGATTCATAACAACCAAAAAATACTGAGAAGTGAGGAGTATGTACACCTGAAGGACACCATGACAAGAACTGATAGCCAGTTATCACAGCTTGGCAAGATGGTTGCGTTGCTGTCTTCTTTCACTGGAGGACCCCACTACATGCATGAGTGAACTCAAGATACGATGATGTATGTCTACCAGTTTGGATGACTGGATCTGTTCATTACATTTACCTGCAATCTGAAATGGCAAGAAATTGTACAGCTCTTGAAATAAGGACAAAAATCTCATGATAGACATGACATAGTAGCAAGGGTTTTTCACATGAGAGTAAAACATATCATGAAGTTCCTCACTGAAGGTTGCATCTGGTGTCATATGTACTCCATGAAATGGCAGAAACATGGAAACATGGACTCCCCCACGTTCATATTCTTCTGTGGCTAGAAGATAAGACCAGAGTCAGTTGACAAAGTTATAAGTGCTGAGGTACCTAATCCTGACCTAGACCTAATCTTCTATGACATTATCAAGACGACAATGTTCCATGGCCCATATGGACCCCTCAACAGGAACTCACCCTGCGTGGTAGGTGGCACCTGCACCAAGAACTACTCCCAGCCCTTTTTGAAGGAAGCTCCAACCGGAAAGGACGGCTATCCTCAGTATTGCAGGAGGTCCCTGGCAGATGGTGGCTTCATTGCAACATCAGTGGAATCGATCTTGACAATCTCTGGGTGGTGCCATACAACCCTGTCCTGTCTTGCACTTTCTCGGCTCATATAAATGTTGAGTACTGACATTCAGTTAAATCCATAAAATATACCTGCAAGTATATTGACAAGCGGTCTGACCAGGCAGCGTTCACCATTGGAGATCTGGATGAAGTGATGAGGTATGAGGCAGGATGATACACCAGCAGCTCTGAGGCAACCTGGCATATTCTCTGCTACCCTATTCACGAAAGGTTTCCTCCTGTTATGCACCTTGCCGTACATCTTGAAAATGGCTAGAGAGTTCATTTTACTGAGGATAATGTTGTTGAGAGGATCAATAACCCTCTAAAAACAACACTTCTGGCCTTTTTTGAGCTGTGCAAAGTCGATGCTTTAGAAAGGACCTTTCTATATTGTGAAGTTCCAACTTAATACATATGGAAAGGCAACCAGTTCTGCAGGAGGAAAAAAGGGAAGCCTGTACCAGGTTATCCGGGGGTGAAGAAAGATCAGGTTTTGGGTAGAGTGTACACTGCTGACACTTAACGACAGAAATTTTGGATTCAGTTGTGGTTGTATGTCGAGGACTACCTGTGTAAGGGGGAGTGCTTATCTCTGTTTCAAGGCCATTGAGCCAGCACTGTCCAAAGACATTTCCATGGGGATGTGGCCAGCATGACATCACAGAGTGCTGTTACCTTCCCATTGAAATGGTTATCTGTTTATTTATTTGGATTAGCAGGCTATCAAGCTGCTAGGTTGGCAGGAGTTGGGGCTAGGATAGGAGCTCCCCCCGTCACATGGAGCTCGGGTCTCAAACCATTCCAGCTAACAAGCCCAGCATCTTAACCACTGAGCCACCACTCCACCTCAACCATCAGATGAAGCAGCCCAAGTTTTAAGCCCAAGACTCATTATTACATTAGAGCATCAAGTTGATTTAATTGATTGGCATGAACAATGTAATAGCAACACTAAAATAGGACAAAATATTTAAATGCCTGAACTGATAGAAATATGGTTTTTTTGGCTTTTCTTTTGCTTTCCTCACTACTCTGTGACTATGTTAATTAACTATACATTTAAATGCATTTTTTCATCTTAACATTTTATTAATATGCATATAAAGGTTATATTTAAAAATAACCATGGACTATTTCCATTAAGCTGGAACCAGTTACCCTATTTTCCATAGAAATATCACTTTGAGTAGTGCAAATTTGAATATTGTGACCATTTTGTAGTATTCATGGTACTAATTGAGATTTGCTTATATGTTTGTATATATATTCTGTTCTCTGTATGAAGTCTACAGTGCTCTCTGTCCTTCCATTTCTAGCTGAAAGGAAGGAAGAACAAGATAAGGGAGCTGACGAATACAGATTAAACTATCAACTGACAAAGTTTAAAGCTGATAAGCAGAAAAGATATTTAAGGGGCTGCCATGGAGAGGAGGGGGTCAAGCTATTTACTAAATCACCTGTAGGCCAATAATGGTTGGAAACTGAACTGATTTAACCTGGAAATAAGGAGGAATTTTCTGACAGTGAGAACAATCAACCAATGGAACAGAAGTTGCCCTCGGAAGTTGTGGGAGCTTCATCACTGGAGGCTTTCAAGAAGAAATTGGACTGCCATTTGTCAGAAAAGGTGTAGGGTCTCCTGCTTGGGCAGGGGGTTGGACTAGATGACCTACAAGGTCCCTTCCAACTCTGTTAATCTGTAATCTAGAAACAAAGTTAAGAAAATATTTATCTGTCAGGACTGCATGTTGGTGCTGATAAATATATTTCTTTGAGAAAGGAACTGAAATATCAAATGAGAAGAAAATATATGAGACCTGAATAAAGTATGGACATGTATGGTGAGAACCAACACAGTTTTCATAGCAATAGCACTTAGACTTATATACTGTTTTATACTGCTTTATAGCCCTCTCAAAGTGGTTTACAGAGTCAGCATATTGACCCATAGACATTCAAAGATGGAAACTGGAAAGCTGAGATTTATCTACAAAGAGCTCTTCAAAATCTCTCAAATGTGGAGTTCTTGGTACTTTTTGAACTTGGTTGTTTTCTTGCAAGCATTTCATTATCTAAATAGTGCTAGAAGGGAATGGGGTTTGCTTTCTGTTTAGATACAGTGGCTTATCCTCCCAATGTTGGTGGGAGAGTTGCATTCTTCTTGGTAGTTCCTCGATTAAGCTGTTGTTTATTGTTTGATCATTGGTCGGATATTAATCCTGATGTTAATCCCTGCTTATCTGAGTGTTGATTGCAGCCAGTTGATTGGCACAGAGAGCAAACCCCAGTTCCTTCAGGCACTCACTGAAGATGTTACGTGACTGGGTAAGGAAATGTCTGCAAGAAAACAACCAAGCTCAAGAACACCAAGAACTTCATATATTGTTATCTGTAGAGTATGTTCTAATAAAATAATTGAAACTAACATATCCTGTTTGTGGCTTGCTATGTGTGGCTTTATTATATGCTTGCTTTAATAGTGCATATCAGATGGCATTATCTTGTAACTGATCATGGGGCGGGGGAAGGTCTTCTGTTCTTGGAAAAATAAATGGGGTAAGGCAGTGGTGGGTTCTGTGAGCATGGCTTGGTGGGCATGGCATAGCTAGGTGGACGTGGCAGGGGAAGGATACTGTAAAATCTCCATTCCTACCCTAATCCTGGGGGAAGGTTACTACAAAATCTCCATTCCCTCCCCACCCCACTAACCTACTTTTCAGCTCCATTCTCCTGTGCAGGGCAACAAAAGAAGACCCAGATGATCAGCTGGGACTTGGGAGGCAGAGAATAGATGGAGGCAGGGCCAGTCAGAGGTGGTATTTACCAGTTCTCCAAACTACCCCAAATTTCTGCCACTGGTTCTCCAGAACTGGTCAGAACCAGAGGTGGTATTCAGCAGGTTCTGACCAATTCTGGAGAACTGGTAGTGGAAATTTTGAGTAGTTTGGCGAACCACCCCAGGATTTGGGTGGGAATGGAGATTTTACAGTATCCTTCCTGTGCCACGCCCACCAAGCCACACTCACAGAACCAGTAGAAAAAAAATATGAATCCCACCACTGGTCAGAACCTGCTGAATATCACCTCTGGGGCAAGCACAGAACTGAGAAAAGGAAGATGGGAGTAACTAGACTAGCAATTCTAAATTTAGTCCTTTTAGCCAAAAATGAATGGCAGCTCCAGAATTTTAGGCAAGAGTTTTTTTCCAGCCATATCTGGCGAAATCGCAGATTGTATTGGCTGCATGAAAAGTATGCAGAATGTCTATTTGAGGAACAATGAAAACAAATGGTATTTATTATGAAGGCTGGAATGAATGCTTTCAGATTTGAAGGATTAATCTAACTAACCCCATTTGCACCCATCTAGAACAACTACTTCATTCAGTTCCCTTCCAGTTTTCAGCTGACCAAATTTTTTCATGCACAGAAACCGTTATTCTCCCCTCTCGTGCTTCAATTTATCTTAACATAATGCACTTCCCTTTCCCTTGAAAATAGCGACAGACAGGAACTATCACACTATTTATGTCTTTATGGATATTTCTATATTTTTGCTGCTTAGAGATGCTGTGAAACAGCATACTGTAGAGATCTGTGGCCACTGGCCATCATCATCGTCATCATCATCAATTATTCTTCCTTGTAAATATGTCTGCCTATCCTGTCAGGCTTGTTCATTCAGATTTTTTTCACATTTTCTTGGCCACCTGATTGTCTTTTTTGAATGACTTCTGTGCTTGAGCCAGCAGTGTGAACATTGGAATGAAAGGCAGTGATAGATGGATTAAAGATGTTTGCTCTACAACTAGAGGAATGATATATTTAATAGCAAAAAACAGCAAATTTCTGGTAAGCAGAAGTCACAGAATGCTAGTGCTCACTATGATAACTTCAATCCTGTTAACTTTTAGTAAAGCTCTGAAAACATGGCTGTTCTCCCAGGCATTTGGGTCAGGCAGTTGTCAGGCATAAACTCTAGTAATATGATTTTTGTTTTGGAGGTTATTGTTTAACCAGACAGCAGAGTTTATTGTCATGGTGGTTTTAATCTTTGCTTCCCAGAATCACAAGAGTTGTAAGATTGGTCACTTTACAGATGATTTTTTTTTTAAAAAAACAACTATAATTCTAATAAAGAGACTAGCTACTTTTTTGTAGAAAGTGCAGCCTAAGAGGCTAAGAAAATTGAAAGAAATAGAGAAAAAAGGAGGAGCAATTGACAGCAGAGAGGAAACTTATAAAAGGACAGATCAAACGAGGCAAAAGAAAGAGAAAGGAGCTAACCAGTGTATCTAAAAAATAAATTAACACTGGTAGCTCTTGTAACTTACTACTCTGGAACAGAATATTCAGGAGTAATTTTACAGATGAAGTGTCTAAAATAGAGCACATATAGAATTACTTCATTATATTTATATTTGCATTGTATTAATTGTATTACTAAGTTTTATTTATTGAACTTTATTTAATTGAGGAGTCCTTGGTGCTCTTTGAGCTTGGTTATTTACTTGCAGATGTTTCATTACTCAAACTATGTAACAGACTGATGATACTATGTAGTTTGGGTAATGAAATGTCTGCAAAACAATCAAGGTCAGAGAGCACCAAGGACTCCTCATTTCAACCCTGAGCTACAAGTATTTTTCTTTACTGTATTAATTGTTCATCATCAACTAGTCCTCTATGTAAATAAGAGTCAAAATGTAATCCTTCCCAGGTATACTGTCTAGAAAAGATCAGAGGTGAGATAAAATGTTATTTTTCTACTAATGTTGCAGGGATGTTTTAAATTGTATTTCACTGTCCCAAAAATATTGACTACTGTAACTAATTTCCAATTAATTAACTTCCAAGCTCCTTTTCACACATGCTGTTGGCAAGTCAGATATTCCCCATCCTATATATCTGCTCTTTAGATATATTTTTTCCTAAATGAAAAGCCTGATGTTTGTCTCTGGTGAATTTCATCATTATTGTCAGTCCTCTGAATGATGTGTCTTTTATAGTAACAGCTATTCTATCAAGTTTGTCTTATACAGAAACCAGTGTTTTCTCTATTTTCAAGTCTTTAATGAATCTGTTGGTATGCTATTTGATCATTCATTCTAATTTGATGGGGAATCGAGTCCCAAACTCTTGTTACTAATATTATTATAATTAATAATAGCTTACTGTATAATTTTTGAGTTTGTTGGAGATCTGCTAAATAGATACATATGTACATTTTGCTCAGGCTTTAACACTGAACCACTTTACTATGTTCTGAGCTATTCAGTCTCTTTGTGTGTTAATTTTCTTAAATAATTTGTGTCATCAGGTAACTTTTTCACACCCAGATTTCTCTTTCTAAAGAATTGCTCTGTAATGTATAACTCAGGCAAGTTGTTCTATTGGTATGCATGCAACTTATATTTGTATATGTATTCAACATTAATTGCATTTTTTCTCTGTGTACAATGTCCATCTTGTTAGCATCCTCAAAATGCTGGTTAACACTTCAACAAATCTTTGTTGTGGGATGTACTTGAATGCCTAAGTTTATTATTTATTATTATGTTTGTACAATTGATATCAATGGATCCAGAACCTTAGCCCAATTCCAAGCTGTGTTAATTGGTTTTAACAGAAATACCATTGACTTCAGCTGTTTAGGTGGAAACAGTACTAGAAAAGGCTATTTAGGCTATCATATGCAGCCTCTTGCTCAGTGTCAAAATCCAAGTTAAAGCATCCCATTCAGTGGGTTGAACAAACTCAGTTAAGGCAACTGGATTTACTGTGAAGCTGCTCTTATGAAGTTGTTTTTCCCCCTTAAAATTCAATTGAAACCTGTCTTTTTTTAGCCTTCTGAAGACACAGGACAGGGTTGAACTCTCACTGTATGGCCATCTTTTGGCTCTTTGAAGACTGTTGTTATATCCTACATATAAGCACCTATCTTCTCTTTCCAGGGCTAAACATATCCAGCTCCTTTAATATCTCTTTATTAAAACTTAGTTACTGAACCCGTGATAACTCTTGCTGACCTTCTTTGAACTTCTTTTCTGAATCCTTTCGGAGACAACACTTGAGGCGGGAATATTCACCACAAAATGAAGTGGAATTGTGAATTTCTGTATCATTTATTCATTGGATAAAGCTTTTACTATAAAGAGAAAAAAAAACCTTATAGCAGTTGTTCACACTGTTGATAGTTTGGTAAACCTTTTATTAGAGAGGAACTGCATTTCTGAAAGTGAACACCATGGGGGTGTGTGAATGAGGGGAGGGACTGAAAAGTAAGATAGAAAATGTTTTATTAAACTAGATCGATTATTCTGAAAAAATTATTGAAAAGCCAAAGATTTCGCCAATAGAACAAAAGAAACGTGACACATTTAGAAAGTGAAGAATATGTTTTCTTTCTGTTTCTTAAAACTTGTAACCACACATATCTATAAAGGTAATTTCCACCCCCCCAAGCTTCATATTAAAACTTCTTGATTACAAGTATATATTAAATACATTAACAACATTTCATGCAAGATTTTTTTTCTATACAGCTCAACCAGCTCAGTAGTATATTCAAATCTATACATTCCCAAAGACTTAGCAAAGTTCTCTATCTTGGAAATATTTTATTTTATACAATGCTGGTGATAAGGAAGAAAGGTGGAGTGTGGTTTCTAAAAGATTATCATCTTAAATAATATCTGTGAATTAGCTGAAAATGT